GACATACTGAACGCAGGTACAGTCCTCATCATTGCAGACCGGTGGGGCGGGTGAGCCGCGCTGCGTGTGACTCGGCTGTGACGCGGCAGCGATGACAGTCGCGTCACAGCCGAGTCACACGCGGCGCGGCTCACCCGCCCCACCGGTCTGCAATGATGAGCACCATACAATACCCCGATGCCTTGTCTACTGACGTCGTCTGCGCGGCGCGCGCACTCTAAGTCTTGTAATTGCGCTTTCGAATACAATCAAAACGCCCTGATGCGGATAATATTTGAGGTGTTGCACATGCTGAAAAGTCCGAATCGAAGATGATGAAGATGACGAAGACCACAGCTGAAGAGTCAGCACAGGTGCTCTTGACTTCCGAGCTTCGTCATCATTTTCGATTAGGACTTTGCAGCATGAGCAACACCTCAAGTGATATACGCATCGGGAGTTTGCGTTTCAGTTTGTTCAAAAGCGCAATGGCAAGAGCCAAGTGCGCGCGCAAAACGCGCCGCGCGGATGGCGGTCAGTATAAACGCATTGTAGCGGCGGTCAGGATGTCTGCGCCGCAAGTTGCATTTTAGGCGGAGCATGGAGGATTCTAGCCTGGCCTGCAGTCCTGGGACCCCATCCCGCGCATCTTCGAATGGGAAAAGCTACGCTTTGACAGCTGGGGGCTCTTTAGTGCCAAGGACGCACGCTGCACTTGAGTGTACACTCTAGTTCGCTGCGGACGGTTGGGCGTGTCAGGCAGTATGAGTGTGTCACCCCGTCAAAGCCGTTCTCTGCCTTCTTGTTGAAGCGCGCATGCGACAAAAAGTGGTAGAAAACGAGTAATACGAACGATATGATACAGTCATATCACTTGCTCGCTTTAACAACTGGAGAACGGGTTTGGCACCGCGCCAAAATCATTCCCGCCTGACACACCCAACCGTCCGCAAGAACTACACTACACGTTGTGTTTTCAAGTAGATGACTGATGGCCTTCTGTGTCGCTACCTTGTGTCGCTGTCGAATTGTATACATTTTCTTGCGCAGAATATGACGAGTCTACATCTCTCATACGTCGGGTCATGTAGCGCTAGGAGCAAATCCAGTTCGGCTGGTATTACTCGGGATATGTTCTCGTTACCATGGCTGCGGCAGCTCTTCATACTTTTGGTAATGCTCGCCGTGGCTAGTATTGCCT